GTCATAGGGAGAATCATGGGTGAAATCCTATTTATACTGCTCAGTAGTATGAATTTGATTAGTGTAATCATCTGTAAAAATATAGCAATGCCACAAAACAAAGGCCATATTTGCTATGCAAAGCAACAATTGTGATACCACCTGATGGTCTACATGGACCTCACTGGGAGAAATAATACTATCTATGTGCACCCCTCCCCCCCCCCTTTTCATTGGTTAATTTTTACACTAGTTTTTCTTCAAGGCTATGCACCATCCCAAATGAGAGGTTGAACAAGTGAGGCAGCTTTTCAATACAGTATACACTGGCTAATTGAGCTGACTAACAATTAAACAATCCCCTCCGGTTTGGTGTAAGTTGCTTCCATTCAGGCAAATCACTGTAATTCCTGTTCCTCATAGAAATGAATAATATGCTCGCTGGATGAAAATGTTTCGATTAAGAGACATTTCAGATAGCACAGCAGAGAAGCTCTATATAATGGGTAAATAGATACAGTGCACTAATATTAAGGAATTAGAGGTCCGTGGGTCATTGAATTATATGAGCTGCCAGAAATCAAACCTCTAAATTGCATTTACTGTCTCTGTATGACACTGAAACTGCAGAAGAAATGATATATCAACAGCCATATTGGCTCTAGGGTATTGCTACTGAACTCTGTGCTTTGTTACTTATATTTAGATTGTTCTGCCTATTTCCTTTAATAGTGTTTACCTACAGTAGCTCTGACCCTGGTATTCAAATAATGCTGAGAATAGTGCATTCCATAAAAAGATTGTTAATGTCTTGCGACAGTGGGAATGGAAAGATTAGTTAAAACCAACATTAATAATTGTCAACATTTTCACCATTGGAAAGATACATCTTTCAATTGTACGTACATGTGTGGGTTGGGCTGGAGCAATAGCCTTTCAGCACCAGTTGTCAAAACAATGTTTGTAACTGTTTTTTCCCTTTAGGTTCTTGCTGCCGAGGCATGGAATATTAATGAAATTGTTTATTCTCTTTGATTTCTAGCTGATGTTGTGCAGTCTATTGATGAGAGACTTTTTTTGCAGCTACTGTAGCATGTTTTGTATTTATTTGCATGTTTTTCGTTGATGTTGGGACATTTTGATGCATCTTCAGCCAAGGTACAAAAGGAAACATTGATGAAACGTGTTTTCGACGGTCAGTGTCACCCATTAAAAAAAAGCACTGCGATACTGTTGTCAAGGTTGTCACTATCTTTTCCTGGAAGCGTATCCATATGCAGCAAATTTCCTCTTGGAATAACAGATCAAAACCCATAAAGTGGATCATTTATACGCCACTCCCCATTATAGAACAGCATGGAGACAGTTAATGAGAGGCATGGCAAAGGGAATATTTCCATGACTTTGTTCCCATGAAGTCAGTGGCTGAAAGTGCTGTCTTGGGGGAATTATTTGAAAGAACAAAAGTGGTTTCTGAATTTTTTGTGCCACTGGTACTTCAGTCAACACAACAGCTTGCTGCAAAGAGTATGCTACACATAGAGAGGCTTTTTATTGCTCTTTTTTAATCTTAGAAATCCAGCAGTGATGATAAAGGTATCTGTGACATTTGCAATTTTCTATGCACCAGCCCACTCCATTTTCTTCCTTAGTGCCACTTACATGGTACAGTAAGCCTGTACCATTGAGAATAATTACAGTCTGCATAAAATGAACAGTGTAATACGAACACAGCTTCCTGTAATTGCCTTTTCATTATTTGCTAACAGTGAGTTACTCAGTCATAAGGAAAAAAAATTGCATAGTAATTGACTGACGATAGGAAGCTGAATCAAATTCCACAAATATGATAATTCTCATGTAGCCACAAAACTTCTCCCCCCTCCCCATTTTGAAGGAGGTTAAACCATTTATACTATATTGTAAAACTACAATCAACAGGATTGAAAGAAAATCATGGTATTAACATTTGCATCCACTTAGGCTGGAACATCCCATTAGCAGTATTAGAAGTAGAGCGAGGTTATTTTCCATGTTTGTAACTTGTGTAGTTTCTGACCTAAATAGGATTTTGAGCTTTGTTTGTCTCTGAAGCTATGACATGGAGACTTGTAAGCTGTGGACTAATTGAACCTCTCTTAAATTAACCCTAGAAAATGCTAGATACCAACACAGGGGAAAAATGCTTAAACACAAACAGATTTTTTGAAACTGAGTTGGTATTTTAGCCAGAATCTTATCATTTAGATCTATAACAAACAATACTTTTGTTTTGCATTCAATGTTGCTGCGTTAGTATTGCACTGATTAATAGTTCCTTATTTTTTATATAGCTTGGAGCTTTTCCTTTGTTACAGTTGTGATTATGCATCATAACTATCTAATGCAGTGAAACCCAGAGCAAATTAGTATTTCACTAACCAGACCAATCTGATTGGTATGACTCCGTAATACAATCCTCTTAACATTTAACAGTAGAAGGCACTTACTTTGTGCTTGAAGGATTTGTTTGTATTTTCTGGATATGATGATTGCTTTTCTGTAATTAGTTCCATGGGGACACTACATTCTAACAGTTAAAGAATAATTACAGCCTATGAAATATTAAACTGCCTAATAAAAGCTTTTGTTGAGAATTCACTGAGGCTTAATTTTATGCAACAAGTAAGCCAGACTTTTCATTATGTATCATGATAATAATGGACATGCTTTTTATAAGCAAAGAAGGGAGTTTTGTATAGAGGTAAATTGTCTCTAATATGGTAATGTTATAGAACACCAAAGGAAATTCAAGGCCAGGAGTTTTATTGAAATGGATGCTTATTATTTTTCACGTGAATGGATTTGCAGAGCATTTTAAATTGCTGTGAGTTGCAAATTGAGACTGGACTATAGAAGATCATATTCGATCATTACTTAACAAAACAAAATTTATGTCAGACCATATATTGGTGCAATGCAACATATTGTGTGCTGAATTTAATTGCTATTGCTTATAATTTGGATTGCTTAGGGTAAAGGATTCTTTTATTCGTGCAGATTGCAGAGAAATAGAGTATGGCTTCGGGGTCTGAAAGTGAATGATTTTTAACTTTTGCCTACAATTATATATTCACCAAATATTCACGTTTCAACATATTAGATATTAGAGTTCATAAAATATGATTTTTTTTTTAAAAAGCATCTATCATTGTGGTGAAAATTGTTAGCGGACATTGAAATAAACAAATGACATTTTCTTTGAAATACATGCTTCTAATAACAATAATGGTAGGTGATGTGTTATTTTTTCATATTTCATTTAAAATCCTCTTTAAAAAGGAAATGCAATTAACCATAGGGTTTTTTTTGCCTAAAGTAGAATATACGGTATCACTGAGGTTGAGTCTCCCTGTGAGTGATGTGAAAACAAAATGTCAACTCTTTGAAGATCAGTATTTAACTGCTTTATCAGATTAATACTGATCGTATACTGTTCTTGACATGACAAATCACAGAGAGTTTTTGAGGGGAGGGTGTTCTGGTAATGCTTAACTTTGACCTGCTGCAATACTGTACAGCAAGTGTGAATCGATTCCTGTTCTGCTTCCAAATGGTTGCTTAAAAATTCTTGGGTCCTCCAATATTTAGCCCAACATCTTTCAAGGGGCTGCATCAGGACAATTCAATAACCTGCTTCAGGACATCTTTTGATGTCAGATTGATGAGATGAAAGCCATCTTAATAACAACTGTTCTAAAGTTCATTACATTGAATTCAGGGACAGGTGAACCAAGGCAATTGTGTTCTGGATCCTCCAAAATACACAACACACATCAGTGAATTGCAAATGAATATCAAATTTTAAAAAATGCATGCCACTTGTATGCAGAAAAGGCATTTGGAAAGCCAGTACAGAATCATAGCATTACATTGTGTATAATTTAACCCTTTTACTGCAGTGCTATACATTCCTGCATCACACAGAATGTAATGTTTATGGTGACTTTGTGACCTGGAAATCGGCCATTTATTTGTTGAAAATAAAAGATTTTTTAAAAATTAAAATATGAATGAATTTTCCTTGATTTGGAGAGCATTGGCAAACTGGATAAATACTGATTAACAATTTCTAAAATTGACGTGCCTATATATTGCATATTAAAAAAGCGAATACAAATAATTACCACGTATTTTGCTATATTAAATATATTTTCTGAACTTCCAATGATTCCACAGTGTCAGGCATGTTTATAAATAAATAATCATAAAGTATTTTCACAGAATCTGATTTTCTCTGACCTTGTAGAGGGCTATAATCAGATGGGGAGATTCTATAACAGACAATATGCAATGATGGAAGTTGATATTATAACATATGGTCACTAATTTCTGTACAACTGGCAATTTTATATTTTTTTCTCAAGTAATAGAGCTAAAATCTCATTCTAGTTCTATTAATCGATGGAGCAATATATTTTATCTTGGGCTAAGATGATGACCTGTGAATTTGATTCTTCATCCCCACTAAGGAGATTTTCTAGATGATTGCCAAGGAGATTATGTGTGAGTGTTTCAAGGTAATATGCCAATGATGGAAGGTGGTATCAAAAACCAATATCACATGATGGCAAAAAATATATCACTTCCTTTTCAAGTTGATCTCTGATATAATGCTATAAAGATATTATAAATGGGTAAGCATTGTATATTTATCGTTGCTTTATTCGGGAGTCCAGATTTACAATGATATTGGATATAACCACAGAAGTTCTGTAATGTGAATCAGCTATTCTGGTTAAAAATAGAGTTCAATGTGTAAATTTATGTTTTTTAAAAAAATCTGTCCATGTTCATCCTGCACATGTGAGTACTTACAGATATGGACATTTTCCTCAAAGTTGGGTGTGTCTTATTTTTATGGTGGCATTCCACGTAGAAAGAAAAACCTTAAGTAATTTGCCTAGCTCTCCATTTTTTTCATAGGGAATATATCACAGGAAAGAGACTCTAAACCTGAAGTATTTGTTTTTCCCCCACAGAAAGAGACCAAATCTGAAATGAACAAACGTGACCCATGGCAGGACCTGAATGGTGATGTAGAGTCTCTAAAAAGTGAGTCTGGCTCAGTTGGGAGTGAGGCTGCTGCATCTGTTTCCATAAAGGTAAATATTTCAAGATTTATTGAATATTATTTTGTCAAGGCTACAATGCATGTAGTTATCCTGGAACAGTACTTCCACAGATGAAAAAGGCCATCTTAAAAATAGTTTTTGTAGCACATCTAAACGTTTTTCTTGTTTTGCTTTGTATCTCAGATCTTATGCTGTCAGTTGCTAATCATAAGCCATGTTCCATTTCCAGTGTCGCACCAAGTTTATGATTTTATTTTGGTAGGTAGTGAAAATAAAAAAAAATCCTTTAAAATATTAGAGCATTACCATAGTAATCTATTGCTAGCTTTGCACAGATATCTTGCAGCATTAGGTAAATCCCATTATTTTTACAAACTGCACAGTTTTCCAATAACTTAATTTCACAGTACCAGATGATGTCATTCGTGTCACTTATAATGTATAGAGATTTTACATTTTCGTTAACTAACTAGTGTTAATGCATTTTTGTGGTATGTTGCATCTTTTACCTTTTTTTTGGATGTCTGTACCTGTAAATATATGTACTTATGACATTGCTTTTACACTCCCAGAACCTTAATTGCTTTATCTTAAAAACCTAAACTATAGACAATCGTAAGCAATCTTCTTTGAGCATCATTACTTATCTCTGCATTTATTTTACAATCGTTTATGTAATAGACACAAGGTTCAATTTCAGTATTTTAAATTCAGTATTGTTGGTATTTTATATCTAACTTTCTGCTTCACTGATGAATAACACACGTTACAATTAGTTAAGTATCTTGTGATCTGAATTCTGTTATTTGCCAAGCTTGCACCAAAGATAGTTAACCAAATTTGTAATCTGTGCAGTTTCTGCCAGGCAATCTACTTCAATTTTTTTTGTTAAATAACATGTGAATAAAATTTAATACAAAATTCTCATATCAGACAGCTGGAGGTACAGTTTCACTATGGACCTAAACTGGAGTAAACCACTCATCTAAGTCACATTTGAATTAATTTCATGGATGGTTGCTAGTGCTAGCACCAAATGTTCCATTCCCCAGTCCTTAAATTAAAGAGCAGAAATGTGTAGCAAACTTCTTTCTCACTTTTCCATTCCTGTAGCTTTTCCCCTGTCTTACCCTCAAACCACTTCTTTGCTGAGCTTCCATCATATTTCCATTTTACTCTGGGCCATTTTTTTTTTGCTTTGTTGTTTTTTTTAACCCTCAAAAGATTGGCATGTCAGGGACTTACTCATCTTCAGAGTTATCATCCTCTTGCTGGGCTGTTTCCTGTTTGTAACCTCATGATTGTGATCGTGACTGAGCTTCCAAACCCTTCTCTCCCTCAGAAGAACACTCTGTCAACTTGTATTATTCGGCCACTTGTCTGTCTCTCTTGTACTATTCCTTCACTGAGCTTCACTTCCTGTCTTGGTCTTTTTGCATAAGACTGTTGGTTGAAAAGTTTTGTAGATTATGCACACATTTCCATACATTTACCCAGTGCTTTGTAGTGTACTTCTGTAGCAGTCGAGACATTTTTGGTTCAGACTTAAATAGAAACATTAGGTTTCTTAACAAAAATTTCATCAGCATATTTATTTTAGATAACTGAGGATGTTTTAAAAGCCTATTTAATAATGACAGCTGGATCTTTTTAGATTGCCCTGCTGTAGCATCGATTTGACTAGCATGACCGTCTGCAAAGGTGTAAAAATGCCCAGATCCCCAAGGCTTAGAATATGAAGATTTTGCATCCTTTTTTTAACACAAGAGTGACCATCTTGTCTAAATATTTACTCTTTACAGCCACGTTTTTCATGTGCGATATCCTCAGCTCATGTCCTGTGCATTCCTTTAACTTGTGTTTTGTAGGTGTAGAGAATAACCTGCTTTCCTGACCATATATGTTTGTAAAAGTCCAACTGGACAGATGTGCTATTAAATTAACTCATTCCTTGCACAATGTGATCATGATGTCACTAGCAATGGCCCACATCCAACTGCGCTGCCGATGCTGTATGGTGTGAACTATTTAATGTGCTATTTTGCTGTGGCGTGGAGGACAGTATTCTTCTGGAATCGGCAACCTAATGAGAAACATTGTACACAAGGTATTTAAATAACATCTACATTATATTTATATGTAACTTCCTAATGCACATTTTTGCACACATTCGTTTTTTCTATCCTTCATCCTTCAATCCCAAGAAAATGAGTAGGTGTAAGTACTCACAAGTGGCATGAGTTATCAAATGCCTCATTTTACTGTTGAGCACCTCCTGTTGCCCTGGTTGACAGCAGGAGCCTACTATGTAAGGAATCCTAGAGATGAAGTTGCATTTGTGGCCTAGTGTGTTGACCATTACAGCTAAGAGCATCTTGAAAATTCTATCTTTAGCAACGAAAACCTTTTTTTTAAGAAATTAAATGGTTTCGGTTGAAGCCCTTTATTTTAGAGGAACAGCAGCAAAAGGACATGTTTTAAAACTGTTTCTAATCCCTTGCACTTGCTTTTCAACTAACCTACCTGTAGTATTGGGCGAGAGAGTAAACCACACTGTATGCAAAATGTTGTATTTTCCTCAATATTGTTATCCTTCAACTCCTCCTGCTGCCCAAATTTTGACATTTTATATAATTCTATGCATTCATTGTTTGTTGTACTTGAGATATCCCCTACAGGGGAATTTAGTATTCCTTTGTTTAGCCTAGGCCTTTCATAGCAGTGAATCTGGAAACCTTAGTTACTTCAAAAGGGAATTTACACTGATTCATTCTCTTCTGAGATCTGAATTTCCTCAAAAGAGTTGGTGGTTATCCATCCAGTTTGTCTACTTAATTTCGACATAATAGTCTTACCACACACAACTGTTTAAACTTAGTCACGTTTGTACCTAGAATTTGGCTGCTGTAATCAGGGGCCTTATCTTTCTCTCAAATCAGGACAGAAAAATATGGCATTTTAGGACTCTTTGCATATACGCATCTAAGCAAGTAGATCTTTAATAGAGGAGCAAAAGACCAAAAATGTTTTCATGTCTGGTTATATTCTTGTATTTTAGGTGTTTGGAGAATAATAGCAACAGGTTTTATGAAATTCCAAGCTTGAACAGTAACTAGTAATAGACAGTTAGTATTCTATCAGTATGTATGGCTTTAAAACCTTTATCTATCCATCATTTGATACTTTAGTGGGGTTAATACTTCAGAAACTGAGCCATTCCTCTAGATTTCTAAGTTAGTGTACTGTGCACTGTGATTTTTGTTTCAGGTTTTAAAATTAAGCTTTGTTTTTGCAGGCATTTAGGTGGGATACTTACCTTAATCCTCTTATGTTTGTGTGCCTGGAAGTCATGGCTGTTTGCATGGCTTAGGATTTAATGATTCTGACGTAGTTGGAATTTTGAGGTCAAGCTAACCTTTTCTATTGATCCTTTATTATTACATTTCCTTTGCATTTTTGTGTTAACACAACATAGATTGTCTGAAATAGTAGTTTAAAACTATTGTAGCAATAGGTATACAACACGTTTATTATAATTTCAACCTTGTATTTGTTCAGCGTTGCAAAACTTAATTCAAGCTCTTTAGCTAATAACACTGCAAAATATTTTATTCAGCACACTGATACTAGTCTTTCTCTAAAAATGTAACCTAAAGTAATTGACAGTTCATTGAAAAAACACGTGGCCATATGTTTGCATCTATGGTTCACTTGAAAGTGTAGCGGGCAACTATTTGTCATCGTCTCCTTTAAGAGATGTACAAGTCAGCCAATGCTTTCTTTATTTTACCTGGCTTTAAAGTACTCGACCCTTGTTTTTCACCATTCTTTAAAACATTGAGCTGTGCTGGGGTGTGGATTCTGCAAACAACCAGCAGTTCTCCAATATCTTGGTCAAGTGTCGATTCTTCATGTTTTGAAGGGCCTGGCAGTGAGGTGTGTCAGTGGGGACATCACAACTGAGCCTGAGTCTCTGCATCAATGAATGAATGTTCACCTAAAAATACTGTACAGTATACATTTTAATATATATATCCTGTGAAGAGCTTAGAGACTATTTCTTGATGTGAAAGACACTATATCAAATGTAAGGGGGAAAAAAAAATCTTTGCATATCAGCAGCAACCACACTGGCTGTTTTTGCCTCCCCACTCTGGGTTCCGAAGGTGCTGGGCTAGAGAAGGGGGTTAAATTGCTGCCCCAACTGACACCAGTCAATGTAATAAATCAACAGCATCTAACAATTTTTAAAAAAAGAAATACCCTAGCTATTTAACATCTGTAGTAATATATTCATTCTGTTGAATACCGACAGCATAAATAGGTCAATATAGCCATCCCTTGACAGAGCCTGGGGATTGAACATGGGACCTTTTGAGATTTTATCTGTTTTGATTTAGACTGTGACTTTACTGATTCAACCATTGGGAAAGCTGATTCAAGGTGTTTAAAGTCACTGTTGTTGTTTTAAAATGAATAAAACATTGGCAACGTAGCCTAGTCCAACGCTGTACATTCCTACATTCTTTTCTGTGCCCTAGACACCGAATGCATCAAAACAATCCATCCTTCAGTTTGCTTGAAATGTAACCAGCTTGTACTGCTATTGGATGCATTATTTGCCCAGCATTTTAAAAATAATGTCGGTGAAACACACTTTTGTATCATACGTTGATCTAAACACAGACATTAACTAGCACAGTAAATGTAGTTTAGCTTCGTTTTAAAAAAATCCTGTTTTCAAAAAATATATTTTTCCATTTATATACGCTTGAATTTTCCCCAGACTATCAAGCCATAGGAAAACCAGCTGATGATTGCTACAGCTGTTAGCATTGCAGTTACTGATATGTATTGAACAGTTATAATACAAGAAGCTAAAGTATTCTGCTATTGATTGATGGGTTTGCTTGTTTGATGGGTTTAAAAGAAAAGTGTGCTTTCCTTTTACTCTATTTGAGATGAAACTTCAGACTTTTCAAACTTCTGCTGATACTAGAAGTAATATCTTTGAAAGGAGCTCCTTAAAT